ATACTCCTGTATACCTTAGTCTTTATTTATTTATTGTCTTTGCTTATTTGGAAGGCCAAGAGAGACAGAGAGAGATTTTCCATCTACTGGATCATTCCCCAGTTGTCAGAAACAGCCAGGGCTGGGCCAGACCAAAGCCAAGAGCCTGGAACTCCATCTGGGTCTCCCATTTGGGTGGACTCAAGTACTTCAACCATTAACAGCTGCCTCCCACAGCGTGTAACAGCAAGCAGTTGGATGGGAAGTGGAATAGCTGGGACTTGAACCAGACCCCTGAAATGGGATGTGAGCACCCCACGTGGTAACACAACAATTGTGCCAATGCTTCCCCTACCACTGACTTTAAATCATCTCTAGATTACTTATGATACTCAATGCCATATAAATAGTTGTTATGCTGTATTGTTTAGAGAACAATGACCAGAAGAAAAATGTACACATATTCAGTTTAGATGCAATTCCCCGCCCCCCCAATATTTTCCATCTAAGGTTGGTTGAATCCATGAATATGGACCTGCAGATGAGGTGAGCTGATTATTATATCAGAAAAGAGAAAGGAGAAACTAAGAAGCATTAGCTTAAGCAACGTTCAAGACAACAGCTGGAGATGGAGCTTTTGTCCACCCGTTGAAAAAGCAAAGAACTGGTGGGATGGACAGGCAGCTCCTGCATTGCTGAGGAAAATGGGAAACTGATCACGTCTACATAATTTTTCTTTTCACAAACTAAGAAAAAGGCAGAGAAAGCACATAGAGTACAGAGAAGGCACACAGAGATAGAGTGCTATTCTCTGAAAATCAGCACCAAGGAGTCCTATTTAATCCTCTTTGATAACCAACTAAGGAAAGCGCATCCTTTCTTAGGAACATTTTTGTTCCTGTAGTAGAGACATCTAGTCACTCTCCCACCAATCCATTGACAAAGGATTTACTGGGTACACAGTGGTGTCAGGCTCTATGTATTATATTTGGAGGGAAGTGGGTAAAAGAGAGGGTATTAAAAAAAAGGAATACTATCTTTCCACAAAAATTTAAATCTAGTGAAGGGGAAAAAAAAATCCTTTCAAAAATGAGTTGTCTAGGGGTTGGGCATTTGTTGCGGGGATAAAGATGCCTGCATCCCTTATTGGGGTACCTGGGTTTGAGTCCTGGCTCCTCCAGTTCTCATCTAGTTTCCTGCTAATGCACACCCCAAAAGGCAGTCATGATGGCTCATGACCTTGGGTCCCTGCCATGGAGGCAGGAGACCAAGATTGATTTCTGGGCTCCTGGTTTCAGCCTGGTCCATCTCTGGCTGTTGCAGGCATTTGGAGGGTAACTAGCAGAAGGAATATCTCTTTTTGCATCTCTCTTTCTCTCTCTGTCTCCCTTCCTTTCAAATAAATAACAATAAATATATATTTTTTAAAAAATCAGTTGTCGGGATTGGTGCTATGGCATAGTAGGTTAAGCATCCACCTGCGGTGCTGGCATCCCATGCCAGTTAGCTGCTCCACTTCTGATCCAGCTCCCTGCTAATGGCCTGGGAAAGTAGTAGAAGATGGCCCAAGTCCTTGGGCCACTGCATTCACATGGGAGATCCAGGAGAACCTCCTGGCTTCGGATCAGCCCAGCTCCGGCAGTTACAGCCATTTAGGGAGTGAACCAGCTGATGGAAGATCTCTCTCTCTCTCTCTCTCTGTCTCTCCCTCTCTCCGCTTCTTAAATAAGTAAGTACATCTTTAAAAAAATTTTTAATTGTCTCATTGAGAGCAATCTTGCCCTTTTCAATGCAGAAGCTATGCCCTCTGAAAGAAATAAGAAAACAACAACAACAACAAAAACACCTTTTATGGGAAAGATGAGGAACAGGGAACCAGATCTCAGTCTTGGCTCCTCAAGTCCTAAATAATCTTTCAAAGTCCCACTTTCCCGCATAAACTATCTAGCTGCATAAACTGTAAAGGAGATGATGCGCAGGAAAGAGCCTTGTAATACGCCCAAAGTCCCAAGGACTGGCTCCACAAAGTGAATCTGACAGCTTAAGACAGAGGTAGTTCTGCCTCGGTGTAGGGACCTAGAAGGGGCACAGAAAGGTATCAACCAATCTGGGCGGGACCAAATCTTTGAAGGCAGGCAGAAATGCAGTTTGTCTTACAATTGTTCCTTTCCTCCCAAAAATGGGCGCAGTGTTTAGATTTCTTTCCACTTGTCACTGAGGATGCATTTGCGTGGGGATGCCAGCAAAAGGAAAGACAGAAAGCATCGGATTTAGGGCGCCTCCGCCGTGTGACCTTGGGCTCACTTTACCCCTCGCGCTTCAGCTTTCTCATCAGGAAGACGAAGATCAAATTCCTTCTTAACCCTCCATCCAGTTTTTGTGAGGCTCCAACTCCAACACGTGTAAAAGCGCCCCGGAAGCGCCAAGCGTCTGGCAAATGTTTAGTCATGTTCCCCCAAACTAGGCGTTCGGAACAGGAGGGCGCCTCCCTGCTTGCTTTGTCACTCTCCTTTCTTCTCGATCGCTGTGCACTTTACAACTCACAATCACAGAAGGAACTGAAATCCGAGAGCCGATTCGGGCACCAGATTCTCGGACCGCACCCAGATAACTGACCACCGAGCGGTCCCATCGGCTGGCACCAGAGGAAACTTAGCCCTTCCGCAGCCACAGGCGGACCCTCACTTCCCGGCCCCGCCACCCGAGTCCCGGAAGCCAATCCCCTCAGCCCTCGTGCACCGCACCGCCCCTTCCACAAGGGAAACACTATGGCGGACTGGAAGAACGGCAGGCGCGCGAGCCAATAACCGCAGAGCGCTGCCCTCATCCGGCAAGGCCCAGAGGCGGGATTATCGGGCAAAGATGGACAGCCACAGTACCCAGTAGAATAATCGGACACTGGAGAGAGGGCGGGCACCAGGCTCTCAGAGTGCTAAGGCCCCCTCGAACCAAGGGCCCAAGGACTCGGCTCGCACTACAGCTCTTCCTTTATCCGCCCCAAAGTTCTCCATCCTATGGTTGCTGGCCAGGCTCCCTGCCTGCAGACTATGGTGGGAGGGAGGACGGAGGCGGCGGCAGCTGAACCCGCCTGACAGGCCGGGCCAGTGACAAAGAGCCGGCGACCCAGGCTGAAAACCGGAAAGCCATTCTTTCAGGGAGGAGAGCACGAGTCTCTTTATAAATAGGAAAGAGGCAACTCACATTGTCGATCACAACGGGCTGATTGGCGATCACATCGTAGGACTCCATGGCAGAGGAATCTCTCCTTCCGAGGAAGGAACTGCCAGCCGGGTCCGCTGCTAACGCCACTGACACGCATGCGCAGTCTGGCCGCCGGCGCTGGGCGGCCAGGGAGCGGCTCCACCGTGCCTCAAAAAGACTACAATCCCCAACATGCCTTTCACCCGTGACAGCCCGCCTGCTCTGGAGCCTCGCTTGGTGTAAGCGACTGGACGTCGCATTTCCGACGCACAGTACCCTGGGGTTTGTAGTCTTCTTGGCTTATCTAGAGAGGGTCACAGGTTGATGATTATGTTGCATGCCTGGATCTGTAGTCCTTTTAAAGGGGCTCGCAATGCACGCTGAAGTATGTAGTCTTCTTTGGTTACTTGTCTGTACTGAGTTCGGATTGTTCTGTAATTCGTGGATGTTTGGATTTGACAGATCAGACCTACCACTCCCACCTTCCCTTCTCTTGGACAATATAAGATTCCCATGTTTTTATTTGGGTCTATAATACATTAATAGACACCTCCTAGCACCTCTACCTCACACTCTTAACAGAAAGGAAATTTTGACACACACACACGTGCAAGGGGAGGATATATTCTTTTTTTTTTTTTTTAATGTATTTGAGAGGGAGAGTTACAGACACAGAGAGACAAAGAGAAAGATCTTTCACTCACTGGTTCACTCCCCAAATGGCTACAGTGGTCAGGGCTGGGCCGATCCGAAGCCAGGAGCCAGGAGCTTCCCCTGAGCCTCCCTCGCGGATTCAGGGGCCCAGACACTTGGGTCATTTTCCACTGCTTTCCCAGGCCCTTAGCAGGGAACTGGATCAGAAGTGGAGCACGCGGGACATGAACTGGCACCCATATGACAGGCCAGCGCCTCAGGCGGAGGCTTAACCTATATGGAAGCCGGCGCCAGGATGTATTATTAAGCATGAGAATTTAGATTGTATAAATTTAGGTCTGGGAGGAAAAAGCTGTACATTGTCGTAAATTTTTTTAATGGGCTATCATTGTCTGAAGACCAACATTTGGAACTACTAGTTTAGGTGATTTTTTTTAAGACTTATTTATTTATTTGAAAGGCAGAGTTACACAGAGAAGGAGAGGCAGAGAGAGAGAGAGAGAGAGAGAGGGAGAGAGAGAGTCTTCCATCCTCTGGTTCACTCCCCAGATGACCGCAAAGGCTGGAGCTGCGCTGATCTGAAACCAGGAGCCAGGAGCTTCTTCCAGGTCTCTCACGTGGGTGCAGGGGCCCAAGGACTTGGGCCATCTTCTACTGCTTTCCCAGGCCACAGCAGAGAGATGGATTGGAAGTGGAGCAGCCGGGACCCGAACCGACGCCTACATGGGATGCCAGCACCGCAGGTGGTTTTACCCGCCACGCCACAGCGCCGGCCCCTAGGTGACCTTGTGATCATTAAACTCGTCTAAGGATGTCAGGAACTGTTCTAGTATCTCTTCATCTTCATAAAGAGTAGAATCGACACTGAGAAGTGGGAAAATCAAAGTGAAGAGAGGTTTTGTGCCAACGCGTTGAAACGAGTCCGGTGCATTTTTCTCTGGATTATTAACTCTTCCTTCCTTCCAGTTGCAGGGACCGTTCTGTCAATAGCAGTAGGAAACATTCCATTTATAATCTATTAAAACTAATGCCACACAGACGGCTGAATCAATCCACTCTCAAATTTCTGTTTAAGTCGTTGTTAGCAGCCTGTCAACAAACCAGTCACAAGCCCTTTGTCAGCGCACTCCTCAGTGCCTTCGTGGGACCCTAGCACCTCAGAAAGATGCCTCAACGTCTCTCTTTGGACCTGGGTTCCTCCTAACACTAGGGGGAGGCTAAGAGCCTCGGGACACTCCCAACGCAGGCAGAGGGAGGCGGGGCCTACTATAAAGTCACGCCTTCTCCACATGTGACTGACAATGACACCAACCAATGGGTGCTGGGACAGGGCGCGCCGGCGCCCCGCCCCCTTGGTCTCCCCGCGGCCCCGAGGCACACTCTGGCAGACTTCGCGGCGGCGACGGCTGGGGTGGACGGTGCACTGTGCGCAGGCGCGGAGCTGGACCTCGCTGCAGCCCCCATTGCCTCGGGGAGTCGCACCCACCGAGTCCGCCTGCTGGCCCGTCAGTGCTCTTCCCTTCGTCCGCCCTCCCGGGTTCCCCTAGCGCTCTACGCGCCGGGATGGCGGAGCTGCGGCCTAGCGGCGCCCCCGGCCCCTCCGCGCCCCCGGCCCCCGGCCCTACTGCCCCTCCGGCCTTCGCCTCACTCTTTCCCCCGGGACTGCACGCCATCTACGGAGAGTGCCGCCGTCTTTACCCTGACCAGCCGAACCCGCTCCAGGTTACCGCTATCGTCAAGTACTGGTATGCCCTGGGCCGCGGGGAGACCGACCCGAGCGGGCCGGGAGGGTTTAGAGCGCTGGGGGCGAGTACTCTGCGGGGAGGGGAGGCGAGGAGGAAGAATGGTTAGAGCACTAGGCAGGAGGGCTTCCTGCTGCGAGGGAAGGAGTTAAGGCTGAAGTTGGGGATGGGGACAAAGGGGTTAACGGCGCCGGAGGGTCGTGAAGGGTTAACCGGGATTAGGAGAAGAGTGAGACCTAGGGGTGCGCAGCAGCTGAGGGGGGAGCGGTCAGGAGAGAGCTGTGAGCCTGCTGAAAGGAGGGGGCGCCTGTAGGGGGTCATCTGTGGGCGAGGGGAGCCGAGGGGGGCGGCTGAAGTGGGATGGGGGAGGCGAGGCGGGGCCTGGGGAGCCTAGGCGAGGGCTTTGGAGGAGCGCGGCTGGAGAAGCCCAGGGCACGGGACTGCGGGGGCTAGGGGCGGGCCCGGGGGCCCGGGGCTCTCCTGTGGGTTAGGAGCTCGGCGAGAGGAGAGCTGAGCCTGAGAGGAGATGAGGAGGAGGCCTCCTTTTGATACCTCCGCGATGAGCTCAGCCCTCGTATCCGAGCAGAGCTTTTGCTTTTGAAGTTTGCCGGGGCAGCTCTTCCTGATAAACTTTCTGCTTACTCTGCACAGTTCTCTTTCTCCCTGCAGAGCCTCGCTCCGGCTCTGCAGCTGCTTGGCTTTCGGACGTCAGCAGAGAACAAGCCCAAGGAGACCCATGGGTTGGCTGGGGACATAAGGGCATCCAAGCTCCTCACTTCCAATGGGGAGTAGCTGATGGAGACCTGGGCCTGGAGCGGAGAGGGAACACACGCAGCTTCCTGACCAGGGGCCTCAGTTTCTCTGGATAGCTGAGGGGTCCCCCTCTTAAGAGTCAGTTTCCTGATGGGCTGCCTTTAAAGGGGTAGGAATGGTCTTTCCTAATTTCCTATTCCCGTTTGTGACTTGAATCTTCTCACAGCCTTCAGGCAGAACGGGTGTTAGCCGTGCTTGTGGCCTTTCTGGACCGAAAGCTGACTGAGAAAGTGGCTGAGTCTGTCCAGACCGCACTCACAGAGGCACGTTTTATGTGAGCCCATTCAGTAAGTCCTGCAGGGGAAGTGGGCATCTTTGCCGGTTACCTCCCCCGTTAGGACTGTTGCTCCACCAGGATAATCTCTTGCTTCCTTGCAAGACTGTGCAGGGCTGAGGCCAGCTCCTCGTGTCGGGGGTGGGGGTGTGGGTGGGTGCAGATGCAAAGGGCCTGGGGAGAGCAGGTGGCCACGTGCAGTTAGGAGGAGGTGTGGCCAGTGGTGCCGTCCTCTCTGGCAGGCACGCTGGTCATTGGTTGAGGGAGTTTTTGAGCCACACTTCTGAGTGGAAAGCTACTCTTGGTGACGTAGTCATCCATTCTAACTGTACGTCTGCGCTTACCTCGCATGGACTTGTCTGTGTCATGAGAAGAGTGGGCTGGGCCTGGCTCTCCATGCTTCTTGCTCAGGTCTCACTGCAGTACAAAGAGGACTCCCTACAGATTCGTGCACCTGTTTTTCTGTCACCCCAGTGGTCATGAGGATAGAGGTGTGTCAAAGGTATTGAAAAGTGTGCCAAGGACAAAGTTAGAAAAATTCCCAGAATGCTTTTTTCCCTCGCAGCTGTTTCCAGGTCGTATTCTGAGGGATGGGGCCAGCAGGGGATGATGGAGAAGGGGGACTGGATGGCACTTTGTGAAGGTAGAAAAGCTGCTGGATTCAGAAAAATGTCAGCGGCCACAGCCAGTGACTGGTTCTTTCTAAGATTTAGGGGCGTTTGTAAGATCATGTTCCTCAGATGTATTCATACAGATACATGCCTATTCTTCCCCTCTGGGATCTGATGAGGCCTCGTCAGCTGTAGCAGGATGGCTGACACAGGCTGCCTGGGCCTGGCGGTCACCCGCTGTACCTTGAGATTTCTTTTGCTGCAGAAAGTTGGCTCTTTGGCTAATGTCCCCAGCCAGCAAGGACGTTCTGTTTGCAAGGAGCAAAACAGAGAGGCAGCACCTGTGCCCTGGGCCCACTCTAGGCTTGTAGCTACCCTGCAGGTGTTTGAGGAATTAAGTTGAGGGACGTCTGGGACCCTGGCCAATGTTTCTTTTAGGTGTAAGATATGATTCTTTTCTACATACTTACCTGGTGTCTGAGTAGCAGTGGAACACTTTGTGCTTTGACTCTTTCCTGCAGGAGTCTAAAGGTAAAGCTTCTCTCTTTGGTGTGACACCTGGAGACCTGGTCAGGAAGAGAGTTGCGGGGGGGTGGTAGAGGGAGCAGTTTTGCCGCTTGTTGCTGGGTGGACCTAGGCAGTGGGAGGCGCAGGATTGGGAATTTGCACAGGAAACCAGCCTTTATGGGGCTGCAGTCACTGCCATCTCTTCTGGGGTTCTGCGGCTATAGTGGAGTCCATCCAGGGATTGCTGCCCTTTTATTTTCTCCCTTCTCCCACAGACTTGCTTGTAGAATTAGTCAACTGATTTGGCAAAATCAGTGTTAATGGCATAGTTGGACATCTAACCCTTAACTTTCTCAGCAGAGATTCTAAGCTATTTGTAATGACTTTCTTGTAAGTAATTTAGCATTTTGTAGCAGAGAATAAGGATTTTTACAAAGGCTGATAATGTCCTGGCCAAAGGGGGCGAAACCAGACCCACTGGTGTTAAGCAGCGTTTCTGCCGTGTGTTCTGGCACGTGTGCTGGGATCACCTGGAACTTGCCTTTCCCTGGGTCTTTGCTTTCCTGTAGCACATTCTCCCTGTTGCACAGCGCTCTCAGCCAGGGTTCCCGGGCAGGCCGAGTTGCTGCAGCCTCTGTGTGAAGTGGGCACGGAGATGAGGCAGCTCAGATGCAGTGTTTGTGGGTTAAATGCGGACCTCCTGCTGCTGATGGTTTCCATTTAGGCTGTTTCTCAAGTTCACCACATTTCCCTATCATTCTGATGAAAACAAGGATTTTAAAAAAAAACCACTAATTATTCTACTAAAGGGAATTGTTAATTAAATCCTCAGTGAGCTCATGACTGACTCTGTCCTCAACTGCTTCGCTGGTGGAATTGTGGGGAAATTTAATGTGGTTCTCAGAGGCTCCAAGTCATTTAATGTCCCAGCTCCCCCTCTGAGGCAGAAGTCTCCTTGGACCATCTTCTGGCTGCAGGCACTCCCAAGGGCTCAGCCTGGTCCCTGCTGCAGTTCACTGTGCAGGGCTGAGCGAGCCTGAGTTTGGCCTTTGTCACTTGCCATGATAAAAGACCGGCTCTGGTCTATGGGGCGCAGGCTGGAGTCTGCAGGGACTGGAGGCTTTGAATTTGCTTAGAACAAACGGTAATTAACATAGGGCACAATGTAGTCTTTCAGGAATTAGCTGTCTAAGAGGCAGGAGTGGAGGGGAGCCTCTGCTTCCAGTAACAATGCCCACTGGGGATGCTCCGGAGGGTCTTTCAACAGAGGCCAGTTGATTGACTGATGCACCTCTTGCCTTGAGCCTTGGCTTATTTATAGGCCCCATAGAAGAGAAATAATCCCTGTCAATCCCATTTGCTATTGGCAGTTTGAAACAGGAGAAAGTAAAATGGCAACTACCCTGTCTGCTTTATTTCTGCAAGAGGCCTTGCCTGTCGAGGGTAGGAGAAGGAGCATCTTGTGCCCATGTGGTTGGGTAGCCCGAACTGTCCATCCTGTGGTCTCATCCCACACAGGTGTAGCTGTACTTTAGTTTTCTTTTGCTTCAGGTTCCCCCAAGATGGGGTCTTTAGGTTTGCAGGGCCAAGGCCCCTAACTTGACACTGTCTGCTTTCTAGGCTCACACTGACATGCCTGTGTTTGTCTTTTGCAGGTTGGGTGGCCCAGATCCCTTGGACTATGTCAGCATGTACAGGAACGTGGGGAGCCCTTCTGCCAATATCCCTGAGCATTGGCACTACGTCAGCTTCGGCCTCAGCGATCTCTATGGCGACAATAGAGTCCATGAGTGAGTGTGTGCCGCCTGTCCCCCTCCACCGCCCATTCCTTATCCCTGAGCCTTGTTTCTGAGGTTCTCTACCATTGACATTTTCCTGAGCAAGGTTGATAACATCACAGTCCTGTGAGGTTGGCACTTCTCAGACGGAATCTCTGGGGTTCTTCCTTCTACATTTCTACTCATGCCCAGGTGGTCCAGGAGCCCCTGAGTACTGCTCATCTGGTACAGGAAATTGTTGATAATGAACAAGAGTTCTAGAACAAACCATCGTGATTTTTCAAGCTTGCCTTGGAGTTAGTTCAGGGGACAAGCAGTGTAGCTATAACGCAGAACTTGGGCTGATGCCTCTATGTCTACTTCTCTCTCCCACCTGCCCCTGACTTATTATGAAAATTTTTAAACATGAAGAAAAGTTGAAAAATTTTATGGTGAACCCTGATACGTAGAATTCAGACTGTACCCTTAACATTTTACTCTACTTGCCTTATCCTATATCTGTCCACCTTCCTTTATTCACCTTATTTACTTCCTCCTTACCTGCATTTTGTGTGCTTGGATTATCCACAGCACATTTTTTTTTTTTTATTTGACAGATAGAGTTAGTGAGAGCGAGAGAGAGAAAGGTCTTCCTTCCGTTGGTTCACCCCCAAAATGGCCTCTACAGCTGGTGCTGCGCCGATCCAAAGCCAGGAGCCAGGTACTTCCTCCTGGTCTCCCATGCAGGTGCAGGGGCCCAAGCACTTGGGCCATTCTCCACTGCCTTCCCGGGCCACAGCAGAGAGCTGGACTGGAAGAGGAGCAGCCGGGACTAGAACCCGGTGCCCATATGGGATGCCGGTGCTGCAGGCGGAGGATTAACCGAGTGAGCCACGGTGCCGGCCCTCACAGCACATTTTTATCCTAGTTTGCTTTCATTTATTGCCCAGTATGCTTCTAAATTCTGCCTCAGGGCTGGCATTGTCGTGCAGTGGGTTAAGTGGACCTTTGTGATACCAGCATCCCATGTGGATGTCAGGTCGAGTCCTGACTGCTCCACTTCTGATCCAGCTCACTGCTAACATACCTAGGAAAGCAGTGAAAGATGGCCCACGTACTTGAGCTCCTGTGTCCACATGGGAGATGTGGATGGAGTTGGAGGCTCCTGGCCATTGCAACCATTTAGGGAATGAACAAATAGATGGAAGATCTATCCTTGTCTCTCCCTCTCTTTCTGTAATTCTGCCTTTCAGATAAATACAGTAAAAATCTTAAAAAAAAAAAAAAAAGTCCTGCCTCTCCTACTTCTCTTTGTAGTCACCTAATTTATGTTTAGGAAAAGAAAAAAAGTTTAGTATTAACATAATCCACTTGATATTAAATCTGCTAAAACAATAACAAGCAGAACATTAATTAAGCACTGATTATAAGCCAGATACTCTTTTGGTCCCACTCTCTCTTTATGTTACTAATGAATTTAATTTTCACAACAGCACCATATAATACTGGAGGAATCTAATATTCACCCTTCTGTACGGAAGAGGAAACTGATATGCAAAGAGTCTCTGTAACTTGCTTAACATCATAGCTTGGCAGTGGCAGAAACAGGATTTGAATCCAGATGGTCTGGCTCCCAAGTCCATACTCTAATTTTTATTTGAAAGCAGAGAGACAAAGACAGAAGAGAGCTTCCATCTGCTGGTTTACTCCTCAAATGCCCACAACAGCCAGCGCTGGCCCAGGCCAAAGCCATAAGCCTGGGACTCTGTCTGGGTCTCTCAAGTAGGTGGCAGAGACCCAAGTACCTAAGCTATCGCCTGTTACCTCTCAGGGTGGTCATTAGCAGGAAGCTGGATTGGAAGCAAAGGAACCAGTACTCAAACCAGGCACTCCAATATAGGCGTGGGCATCCTAAGATGCACCAAACTTCTCCAGTCCACACTCTATTTTTTTTTTAAGATTTATTTATTTAGTTGAAAGTAAGAGTTACACAGAAAGAGAAGGAGAGAGAGACACACACACACACACACACACACACGTGTCTTCCATCTGCTGGTTCACTCCCCAGTTTGCCGCAATGGCTGGAGCTAAGCCAATCTGAAGCCAGGAGCCAGGAGCTTCTTCCAGGTCTCACACACGGGTGCAGGGGCCCAAGGACTTGGGCCATCTTCTACTGCTTTCCCAGGCCATAGCAGAGAGCTGGATCAGAAGTGGAGCAGCTGGGACTCAAACCGGTGCCCATATGGGATGTTGGCACTGCAGACAGTGGTTTTACCTGCTATGCCACAGCACTGGCCCCAGTCCATACTCTAAATGATTGCACTTGGTTGCCTCTTAAATAATAATTTCTTGTACTTCCAGTAAACTGCCATCTTTGTTTAGAAATTCTTTTCCATCTATATTCTTTTGAAGAAGGTGTTCTTTTTTTAAAAAATTTAAATATAGTCTTCCCTCTCCCTTATTAGCACTAATCAGGAGCTGATATTCTTTCTGTTGTCATATCTTCTTTTGCTTTTCTACTTTTTTTTTAAGTTTACTTATTTGAAAGGCAGAGTGACAGAGAGAAAGAGAGAGAGAGAGGAACAGAGAAGGGTCTTCCATGTGCTGGTTCACTCACCGAATGCCTGGAATAACTGGGATGAGGCCAAGCCAAAGCGGGGAGCCAGGAACTCTATCTGGGTCTCCCAGGTAGGTGGCAGGACTTGAGCCATCATCTGTTACCTCCCGGGGTTAGCTTTAAGCTGGATCAGAAGTGGAGGTGGTTTTCTGCTAAGGGCTGTGGTATCCCAGGTGGCAGCTTAACTCACTGATTTCTTTCTGAATCTTTTAAAATCTTTATTGAGTTCATTTTTAAATTTTTTTCTGATACTTTTTTCATGCTAATATAATGTTAATACAAAGAGAATAGATTCAGTGTAGTTCATTGATAGAATTTTAAGAATAGAATGATATTCCCTCCCTCCCTCCCTCTCCCTTTTCCTTCTTTCTTCCTTTTTTTCTTTCCTTCTTTTTTTCAGTTTTTGAGCTAACATATTTTTAATTAATGTTAACAGTCAAGGGCCTAATGGTCCACTAAATAAAGAGATGATCAAGTGAAAAGTAAAAAGATGCTAGTTCAGCAGTAATATAGGCAAGGACTACATACAATAATCAAATGGAAAGATGGCCATTTCACCCATGTGCAGTAAATTTAAAAAAAAATCACAGATCATTAAAGCTATAGTAATATAGCATTCTTTTTTTTTATTTAAGATTATTTATTATTTGAAAGAGTTACAGAAAGAGAGAATCTTCCGTCCTCTGGTTCACTCCCCAGGCAGCCACAACGACCACGACTGGGCCAGGCTGAAACTAAGAGCCAGGAGCGTCTTTTAGGTCTCCCACATGGGCAGGGACCCAAGTACATAGCTCATCTTCCACTGCTTTTCCCAGGCCATTATAGGGAACTGGATCTGAAGTGGAGCAGCTAGGACTTGAAGCAGTACCCATATGGGATGCCGGTGTTGCAGGTGGCAGCTTTACCTGCTATGCCACAATGCTGGCCCCAGTAGTATAGCATTCTTCATCACTGGTTTGACAAAGACATGTTATACCATCTTTTTGGTACATTGGTGATGACTTTTTAGCCTGGGCTGGTTGAAAGAGTAGCAAGGCTCTGTCTTACTTCAGTATGGAGGCTGATCTGGGGATGATGATGATGTAGAAGGTGGTAATAGGTAATAGCCTTTTTCCCCATTTTAAGTGTGTCTCCTATTTTGCTTTCCAATCTTATGATGTTCTCTTATCTGCATCTTACAGACTGAGTCTCTTGGGGAAGTTAAATGAATTGCTCAAAGTCATACATGTAGGCTGTACAAGAGCTAGAACTGAATTGGGCTGCCTGAGTCTGAAGTCTGAGCTCTTAACCCCTGAGCTGTACCACCTCTTTAATCACAAATCCAACCCAACTTCCTCTTTCTTGTTAGCTCAGAGACCCAGGTAATGTATTGAGAGCAATGTCAGGGCCTGTCTTTGCAGCCTTCCAAACTGATCCATTGCAGTGTCAGCAGAAGGCTTTGGGAACAGGGAATTAATTTTGCCTGAATGGGGATTTTGCATCACAGCATTGGTAATGGAGATAGAATAGCAAACAGATGTGGAAAGTAAAGGGCCTATGCTGGAGTTCTTAATAAGAACCTGCAGAAACTATTTAGTACAGCTAGCCCATGGCATTTCGTTGACAGATTTGTTCTAGCTAAAAGAATACTATCTCCTGTGTGACACAATGATACTCCTAGTTGACCTGCTTAACTGGTGTGGGTTCAAGGCCCAAAATAACTTGAAGAACATAATAAAGAAAGCTCATATTTCAGAAAAGGCAACCTCTGAATTTGAAACAGAGCCCTGAGCCGGCGCCGTGGCTCAATAGGCTAATCCTCCACCTTGCGGCGCCGGCACACCGGGTTCTAGTCCCGGTTGGGGCGCCGGATTCTGTCCCGGTTGCCCCTCTTCCAGGCCAGCTCTCTGCTATGGCCAGGGAGTGCAGTGGAGGATGGCCCAGGTGCTTGGGCCCTGCACCCCATGGGAGACCAGGAAAAGCACCTGGCTCCTGGCTCCTGCCAGGATCAGCGCGGTGCGCCGGCTGCAGCGGCGGCCATTGGAGGGTGAACCAACGGCAAAGGAAGACCTTTCTCTCTCTGTCTCTCTCTCTCACTGTCCACTCTGTCTGTCAAAAAAAAAAAAAAAAAAAAAAAAAAAAAAAAAAAAAAATAAATGATGCCCCCCGCCCTATATAAGCGACCGGTTCCCCCCCCCCCCGCCCTCTTTACCAGTTCCTTTCATCCATCTTCCTTCTGGTTGGTGGCCAGACTGCATGGATTAGGGCCGAAGTAATTGGTTGCGTACCACCCTCGGGGGAAGCCCACAGAGAGATCGCCCCTCACTGATTCTGTCTGGCCTCCCTCGATCTAATCTGATCGTATGTGAAGGGAGAAAGCAAGTTTGTTTCTATCTCATCGCCTGTCCGTGTGGTTTTGTGTCTTTCCATCCAATTA